GTCAAGCGGCAGGCTTCGCAGCCTTTATTTGAGACCGGATTGCCAGGTCATGCAGTTGTCCTCAGTTCCCAGCTTGTCTCATGTGAGCCACAAACAGAACAACACCACATGTTGCGAATTGTTTGGGAAGCAGTTGTCCGGCTTTGCATGGCTGTGACTCAAAAAACCGGTACCAAAATGGAACCCTGGTAAATGGAACCCTGGTAAATGGAACCAAAGACTAAAACCCGCGTAACCCCCTGTTTAATTTTGAGTCACACCCACATGCAAACTTGGATGGCTAACGAAAATACCAACGAAAAATACCTATGCTTTTGGGTCACTTGCCTCAATTGCCAAAAGGACCCCGAGAAATAATGTTAAGCTTTTGGCACCTCTGGGAAACCAAAAGGTCAAAAGGTGGGCTGTGAGAAATGTGACTCGAGTCCTATCATCGACCTCTACCCCCCCCTCCAACTAACATAGCACCAGACATGGGGTCCCTTGAAGAGGAAACCAATCTTCCAGGTACCCTCCCAAAGGTGCCATGCCTGTGGAAGGGAGGGTAACCAATTGTTGCAATCAGTTTAACATTTCCCCCCCCCCCCCCCGAAAAGCGTGTCCATACATACCGTCCCTTGTATGCACGTTCCGGAAACTGTGTGGATTTGGAAGGCCCCACGACGGTACATGACTTGGGGGTGGGGTATAGTGCAATTCCCAGTCTGAAATAAGACGCAAATGTCTGTTGTTCCAGACCCCAAAAGGACATGAAAGGACTGGTCTTTGGCGCGGGCTTTCGCAAGAAATCTGACCCCATCCATCAATGCCTAGCACTCAATTTCCCGGAGTGCCTTTGTGCGGGTTGTTAAGCAACCTCAACATTAACCTTCATCACGTGTGCACGTGGTGGTTTTATCCAACTGTTCCAGAGACCCACAACCCACACTATCCGCCAAACACCCGTCCAATGTCCAATGCTGGTCTACATATGTTGGTGTTTCCGGTGTTTCCGGTGCTTGCCGAGATGTCCGGCGTGATCCCCCCTTGCCCAGTGCAAGCCCAAGGCGCCACCGGCCACATCGACCTCTGCGAGGTCCTCACTCGAGGCTTGGTGCTTCCGATTTGGATGTTTCTCATGGGGCTGACCTTAAAAGGGGGACTAGGTTGTAAAACACAAAACAAGCAGCGACCCGTTTCCTGGCCGTGCCCCTTAACGCTCACATGAAAAGGGGGGCTCCCTATTTGGAGGCAGACCAGCTTTGGAAGACTACTCGACAACGGCCGTCTGCCCAATAGCAACACGTCTCTCGAACCGAGCCCATGGAGCCTGGGGCCCCAAAGACTCGCTGCCTTATGTGGACCTTGTGGGAACCGAAGGACTGAAGGCCACAGCTGGAAGGCAAAAAGGTGATCTTCTTGCGGATGCAAAAGCGGTGGCAGCAAGTCAGCGCGCACAACTGATGGCCATAATATAGGACGGGCAGTTCCCTCCACATTGGGTAACCAGGGGAATGTCATATAACTCCTAGAGGTAAGACACGAACGAATTGCCTGCTATGAATATAGTAGCTTGCCTGCAAGCACTGGGAAACATATCACGCACTTGCCCCCGGCCGACATGCCAACAACCAGTCGCTTCGCTCCTCAAAGGCCTGGGTCACTGCGCCTGAGTCCACCGCGGATCGAAGGAATCTCAAACAGACCATATGGCGTGTAGATGGGGGCGGGTGGGCCCAGAGATTCAACGCGGCCATGCGGCTTCAATGGAGAAACAAAACCACTCGACCCCTTCAATGGTAAGAAGGAAAATCAGCTCTCAGATGTCAATATGCCGTTTTAAGTGGTGGCTAGAACTCGTTGGGGATATCTCTCACACGCCGAGGCCCCGTGCGCGATAGGGAACCGCCTGGCAAGTGCTCCGGACAGTGCTCCAAAGTGCTCCAACAACAGTTTGTCCTTTGTTAGACCCTCTAATTTGAAGACACACCCATATGAACGTCTTTTCTTAAAGGTACCCTTGTTGAGGTTGATTGAAAGGGAACGCAACGGGAACTCACCGATTCTTTTTGCCCCCCTCCCCCCCCGCCCAACAAAACAGTAGTCAACCGTCATGAAACCTGTCATCGGCCTCCCAAGAAAGGAGCCTTCCTCGTGGGGTCGGAGGTCGGAAAGCAAACCCCCTTGTGAGATCGGAATTTGATTTGGCACGAAACATGGTACTGGGCAGGACCCTTTTGACATGTTAGGAAGCTCTCCCTTTCATGGACACCCAGAAACTCTGTCACCTTTCAGGAAGGCTCCCCTGACAACATTGTGACTCCGCGCATGCCCTATTAGCATCATATATCATAGTCCTGAAAATAGGGCAGAGTAGCTAATAGGAACATCCAAAACAGCGGTGGACAGAGGCCATAGAACTAGCGTCTCATAAGCGGTGTGTCCGGGATCATGGTGGCAAGTGGCCTTGCAAATCCGCGCTGACAGGCACCGACCGCAGACTTTATTGTGGTGCGTCGGCACAACGAGATAAACAGTATGCTGATTGAAAGGAGTTTTGTTGCGGCGCCCATGCAAACTCAAAACCCTTTCTCGCGCCGCAGACTTGCACTTTCCGGGAAGGGGCTCCCAAGCAACATAGACAGTAAGCGCAAGATACCATCATGGTCGTTTTGATCAATGCCTTCAAGTGGGTTTGTGTCAAAATTAGGGAACCCCCAAGTGGTTTGTCCTTTTGGTAGCACCTTATTTGTGCCCGTGTGGCCTAGGTGGTGGCTGTGAAGGGGTCCCACTGCGAGCAACAAGCAGATCATCAGAACTGTGCTAATACATTTACCTAGGTCCTCCAGCAGAGAGGTTAGAATAAGGGTACCCTTTTTTCTGTAATCTATTTTAGTAGGGGAACCCTCCCCCAAAAAAGGGTAGCAGGGCACTGCTGGGGGACCTAGTTACGTGCAAAAAACGCAGCCCCCCACACGAAGCGCCTTGATCTTGATCAAGGCCCATCGCCATTCCTGACACCGACTTGCGATCGCACGAGCCTTCTGCAACGCATGGTGGCCTAAGGTTGATCTAAGGCAAGTTTAAAGAAAACACAGAACACTCGTGCTTGTTATTCATGCCTGATCTGACATGATGTTTGCTTAACAATGCACTAAACATTACGGATATCTAGTTGTCTTCAAACTGTAAACTGTAAACCCCGTTGCTGCTTTTGCATTCTGTTTGAGGCCATGTACACCAAGTTACTGGTCAGCGGGGCCCCCTCCCAACACCCATGATTGTAAGATGATGACCGCATTAAAAACTCCAATATTTGCACTCGCAAGTACCCTGATTGTTGTCATACTGTACATCTCAATTACGCGGTTTGGATTGATGCTCGACGAGCTCCTATCGAAGAAGAGCATGTATCCAACAATAAAGCACCGATCAACTGCGCTTACGTACAACACGAGATCTATGATGATCTATGAGCTACTCCTGCATTCATAGATTGCGGAGGGTTCCACTGTGTTTCTCATCGCCCTTTCTGAGTGGCCAAATGCGTCTTCCAAGCCACACTCACAAAGCTACCAGGTTACAATGCGTATGGCACAACGTGAAATGTGTGCAACTGTCTTAGAAAAACAAAGGAATACTATCCTCCAACAAGTGGCTGCAAATCAGACATAAAGGCCGAATAAGATGTAGCCCCTGGCACTTACCTCTGAAGACCCCAGACCATTTGCTGATTGTAAAACGCAACGCTCAGGAACACCGAGGGTACGAAGCCAGATTACGCCCAAACTGGGCTCATGAAGCGATCCTTGAGGGAAGTCAACGTATGAGCTATGTGCCCCTGGGACAAGCGC